TCTTTGGGGGGCTCCGCCCAGGACCCTTTTACTCATCATTGATGAGTGAGACAGTACGTTCTTATGCTGTCTCTGCCAAGGGGCACTGCAAACACCTTTAGTGAGTTTGCCAGACTGTTTGTGGAACATTTCGTAGCAAACCAACAGATCATCAAGGATTCATCCCATCACTCAGCATTTCATCAAAGCAAAGGAGAATCACTGAAGGATTACTTCCGCAGGTTTCCTACTGAAGCCCGGCAGATTCCGGGAGTAGATCTGGAATTACTAAGAGGAGTCTTCTTTGGGGGGCTCCGCCCAGGACCCTTTTACTCATCATTGATGAGTGAGACAGTACGTTCTTATGCTGACCTTGTTCACCTGTTGAGGTTTAAATTTCTGCAGATGAGGCCATCATTGCTCACAAGGAACAATTTGAGCGATTGGGGGGCAAGCACAAGAATAACGCCGGGGATACCAATCAAATCTCACAGCAAAAAAAGTTCAGACCATGGGGAATCGTGAGCAATGATCAGAACACGTCACGTGTTAACATTTTAATGATAATCAAGGATGAAGAGACTCTCAAGTGCCGGGAGTAGATCTGGAATTACTAAGAGGAGTCTTCCTTGGGGGGCTCTGCCTAGGACCCTTCTACTCATCATTGATGAGGGAGACAGTACGTTCTTATGCTAACCTTGTTCACCTGTTGAGGTTTAAATTTCTGCAGATGAGGCCATCATTGCTCACAAGGAACAATTTGAACGATTGGGGGGCAAGCACAAGAATAACGCCGGGGATACCAATCAAATCTCACAGCGAAAAAAGTTCAGACCATGGGGGAATCGTGAGCAACGATCAGAAAAAGAATTCACGCCACTCTACACGTCACATGTTAACATTTTAATGACAATCAAGGATGAAGAGAGTCTCAAGTAACCAAAGCCGTTAAGAAATTCAGATGGTGGAGATCAGTCTCAATATTGTCTTTTCCACCAAGCAAAAGGACATTCAACAGAAAGATGTTTTCAATTAAAGGAAGAAATTGAACGTCTAATACGTCAAGGTCACCTGGGTCACTACTTACAAGAACAATGTGAGGGGAACCATAAGAGAATCGTTTGAGTTATTGAATGAAGAGTATAACTTCAACTCATCTTATTTGAGTAAAAGAATGGATTATAAACTCTTAATTTTATTTTAACAAAATTTTCATGTTGCTTTAAAATGTCATTTCATTAAAATTTTCTAATTTTCTCATGAAAGATTTTGTGTAACAAACCCTCTTGAGGATGAGAAGCTACCATGCCCCTAAAAGCCAAGTCCAAGAGGCAAGACTCAACGGGAAAATACGGTACTCCTAAAAGTCAAGCCCAAGCAGCAAGACTCAATGAGAAAGAAGCTACCCCCTGGAAGACGAGCCCAAGAGGCAAGTCTCGATGTGGCAAGGCTCGATGGGAAGCTAGTAGTGGACATGGTCATCACTAGAAAGATTCCATGAGAGCAAGTGGTTGACAGGGTCTCCAATCAAAGACCTCAGAGGCTACGAACCTCAAAAGGCACAAGTGCATAAAAATTTCTCAGAGCGCTATGAGCCTCAGAAGAATTTTGCACAATTAAGAAGCCATAACAACTGTGGAAGCAACAAAAAAATACATTGTTATCATCTAAAATTGCAACATTAGATGATTAAAAAAGCTACAAAAACCAACCTATACATGTACAAGGGCTACAACAAATCAATTCATCTTCAATTAGAGTCGACATCGCCTTTCTAAAATTTCAGTATTTCTGATGATTGTTAAGGGGTCTCCAGATATCGTTACCACATAAGCATAAAAATCCCTCCCTCATGACGAGGCGAGAAGACTACATCATTTCTTTATCACTTTCAAAAAGTGTCGTTACCACATAAGCATAAAAATCCCTCCCTCATGGCGAGGCGAGAAGACTACATCATTTCTTCATCACTTTCAAAACGTGCAAGAGCGGCACGGGAATCTCCTTCGGAATATGTGACGCTCCGTCACAACTTTTCGCTGCAATATTTCACCGCAACACTTCGCCGCAACGTTTCGCCGCAACACTTCTTCGTAACTCTTCATCGAAACTCGTCGCCGCGACACACCGTCGCAATGCTTCGCCGTGATGCATCGCCGCAATGCCTCGCATCGCCTTGACCCATCGCCACGACGCCCGGCCGCGACGCTCT